AGTGTATGAGACAATGGTGAGTCAGTGTATGAGACAATGGTGAGTCAGTGTATGAGACAATGGTGAGTCAGTGTATGAGACAATGGTGAGTCAATGTATGAGACAATTTTGATGATGATTAGCAGTTCTGCACACACACACACCAACTCTCTTGATGCCAGAAGGCAGCAGACCAATGTTTTGTTTACATCTACTTCCGTGTAAAAATGATTTCTGTCTGTTCAGAAAAACACATGAAGGACTCATTTTTATTAGTTTGTATAAATATAAAATTCAGCTTATATAAATGTAAAAACAAATCATTTTTCTTTTATGAGCACCTGTTTCTCAACATGTTGTCACTCAGTCATTGAGGGACACGCCCCTGAACTAACAACACATTGTGATAGGTCAGCTCMTGAGCATCCACAGGGGTCCCTTTTAATTTGGATCAGTTTAAGAGTGAGCAGCACAGACAGAACTCTGCTTCCTGCTGTTCATCCTAATGTGCAGGAAACACTTCAGACTGACTGATACCACAGAGCTCATCTGAACCCTGCAGCTTTCATGTAACATCTTTAAGACAGCCTGGGTTTCAGTGTCAGAGAATCTTATCTGTGTTGACAAACAGCCAAACTATAACTAAACTGTTCAGATTTGACTTTAACACAGCAGTGTGCAAACTACAGCTAAAGTCTCTAATTATACCCAGTCCTCACCTGCTTTTAACCTGAATAATTAGAAAAGACTCCTCCTGCTCTTTATTTTTTTATCACTTACCCTTACAGACTTTTGTTGCTCATCACAATGTTTTAAGATGTGCTGCTGCCAGCAGGGATGTTGCTGAAACTAGTCCCCAGCCTTATTACTACTCTCCATCTTATATTGTAAATGTGGTTACTTACAACCAATTTGTTGAGACAGAGAAGAACAGAGAAATAGAAAATGTAAACAAAACTTTGGCTTTTAAAGAATTTCTTACAGTTACATTGCAGTCATTTAAAACTGACTGTTTTTTGTCCAACAGAGAGATATAATAATGAATAAAACTAAAACTGGTTCATTTTCAGCATCAGTTGTTTCACAGAGTGAAACTTTTGTTGTCTAAATTTGAGAAAGTCTTTTAATCTTTCTTCTTTTTTTTTTACAGGAAACCAGAGAATATGAAGTTTCAATTTGAAGACTCCTCCAGTGTGTGTGTGTGTGTGTGTGTGTGTGTGTGTGTGTGTGTGTGTGTGTGTGTGTGTGTGTGACTGAGATGCAGAAATCCTGCTGGTTTTTTTTTTTTCCTGGTTTCTCAAGTGATGAGAGCCAAACAGTCAGCAGCCGAGTCTTTTGTTCCGAGNGTGTGTGTGTGTGTGTGTGTGTGTGTGTGTGTGTGGTTTGGTGACTCTGACACCTTCACCCAGTCTGCAGTCTAATGAAGACAATGAGCCTCCCTTTATTCTCTCAGCAGAGGAGCTGCAGCAGTCTGGAAACTCTGGGAGTCCAGAATATTTTTTTAGCTCAGACTTCACGCAGCAACACGTTGTACAGTTTGTAATTTTGTGCTCGCTCCTGAGGAGCAAAGTAAGATGGAAGACAGCAGAAAGAATCTGTTCAGATTCTCTGCAGTTTGAGCAGGTTAGTATGTTGCATCCTGATGTACCTGTTTCAACTGAAGATCCATTCAGGCCCCATAATGACAAGATGAAAACACCAGGACTGGACACCCCTTATCAAGACCTTTCATAATAACACCTGAAGTTTCACTGGAGTCCACCTGCAGTAAATGAAATATTTGGACCTGATTTCTTTYGTCAGAAAACCTGCAGACAGTCAGAACAAAAACCAAACCCTGACCTGCCTGCAGAGCTCAGAGACTGGACTGTTGAGCTGAGGAAGACTACCAAAACAGTTCTGCTGCTCTGAAGGTTCCTCAGAACTCAGAGGTCTTCACAATTCTCACTTGTAAGACATTTGGCAGAACCAGGACTCTTTCAAGAACTGGTCCTCAGCCACATTTAGAAGTCGAAGGAGAAGAGCCTTAACAAGAGGGCAAACCAAGAACCTGATGGTCCCTCTGACTGAGCTTCAGAGGTCCTGTGTGGAGATGGGGTTCAGTTCCAGTAGGACCATCGGGACTGATCTGGACTTCATGGCAGAGCTGATTGATGGAAGCCTCTCCTCAGACTCTGACAGTGAARAACCAGACCCTCTGATCTGATGAAACCAAAACTGTTTGGTCTGAAGGAAACCCATCTCCACAGTGAAGCATGGTGGTGGTAGCATCATGCTGTGACATGCTCAATGAAAACCTGGTCCTCAGAGCTCAGGACCTCAGACCGGACTGAAGGTCTGGACCTTCTAATGTGACAACCCAAAGCCCACAGAGGACACAGGACAGACTTTGGGACAACTCTGTCTGACTGGACCCCATCTCTGGATGGATCTGAAAATGGTTCCACCAGCTGGACTGAGAGAATCCTCCAGTCCAGGTGAACCCTAGAATCCAGACTGGAACAGCTGCTAAAGGTGCTTCAGCTCAGTCAAAGAGCTGAAAACTGATCAAAACGGGATTTTTATTTTATTTATGTTGATTTAATTTACTAAACTGTATAAAGTTCAGTTTTCACTTCATCAGTCTGGGGCTGTGAGAATAAACTGATGAAGGACTGTAGAACCAGGCTGCAACATAAAGTCACATAAAGTGAAAATGTTCTGAAGATGGTATTTTGTGCCAAATTCCATCACATCCATTAACATTCTGTTCTTCATTTGAATTATTTGAATTCCCCAAACTCAATGAACCTCCTGGCATTAGACTGTGCCTTAAATGAAATCTTGACATGTTGTCCCAACGTTCAGTCCARAACTGGAGTCAGGATGAAGTTACTCTAACAGAGACCTGGACCAGCTGGCGTGTGAGGACAGAGGTCTCCTCAGGCAGCTGTGAAAGGTGGGAAATGAACCGGAGCAAGAAGAGGAAACTTTCACTTTCTAACGTTTCTATTTGTGTTTGTTCCACATTTAAAAGATAGAAGAAAGAAGAGTGCGGTGTGAATCAGAGGTCCAATCCTGGTCCTGAAGGCTTCAGCTGTTTCCCTGATTTCATTAATTATTTGATTGATTGATTGATTGATTGATTGATTGATTGATTGATTGATTGAATGATTGATTGATTGATTGATTGATTGATTGATTGATTGATTGATTGATTGATTGATTGATTGATTGATTGATTGATTGATTGATTGATTGATTGA